GGGCAGAGCAGTCTTGCATCATTTTCGTCACTATGACCTTCAAAGGGTCAAACAAGGTCGATGACCTCAAATGGGCTTGTGACCTTTTGCTTAGAGACAATTGCCTAGGCTCTAGGGGCGCTTTGGAGACCAACCTGGAATTTGACCTTGTTTGACCTTATTCGATCTGAAGGTCATGACCTAGGGAACTGGAACCCTTTCCTAAGTGATTTCACGTATAGGTTAAGACACCCTGTAAATTTGGTGTCCCTAGCTTTCTTAGTTCCAAAGATTTCGGGGGGGTCAAATTACCCCCCACTCCCGAGCGAAGGGTATCTAGCCGGCCAACCGGGCGCGTGTTAAAGCATAATAATTTCATGGTAGTATTACGAGCATAACAAATTATTAACGCCAATAATTTGATGCTGCACTTTTCAATTCCCTTCCACAGCACTTTTAAAACAAAACAAAGCAAAGCCAAGCAAATTCAATAACAATATAACCACAGAAAATTAAACCAGCATCAAACACTCAACCAAAAAACATTAGACACCTGCACATCAGTCCAGCACCAAGTCAAACACAATAGACATACTTCTGGCTTCTGTTAAGGTGGGGTCAGTGAAAACAAACATTTTGTCACTGTTTTTTTACAAAATACCAATGCTCATTTCCATGAAAGTAGCCCATGCCTAACCTAAAGAGGCCTTACATCATCTCATCCTGTATGACCTCTTTGTATCACATCAGCAGTTGTGAGTTAATGATTCTTGCACAATTCCTATTGCCACTTGCCAATCACAAATGCCACAAATGAAGATCATCTCAACTCACCTATCTGTTGACAGCAGCACTCGTGATAAAACATGCTATTTATAAATAGTTTTTGAGTGGTTCCAACTCGCATTTTTATTCAGCTCATTTTTGCATGCTTGTTGACATCAGACAAAGTTGACAACATGCAAATTAAAGCACTTTAAATCACTTTGAACAACTTATTTTGATCGTCATGGTTAGCCTGTGCCACGGGCAATAATGGGTATTCTACACAAAACAATCCCTCTTCTCCAAAAATAGCATAACCTCTAGATGACCATGCCAGTATTGCTGCTTGCCTTTTCAGCTGCAGCAAATGCATCCATTTGGGCTTGTTTATTCATATTTAATGACAAAGTTTGAGATGTTGGTTTCACATTTTAAATTGGGTGGTCTGACTATTTGTTGCACCGCAATATTTAACTCGTAGTATAATTGCTATGCAGCTTAGAGTATCCCTGTGTTAAGAACATCGTGCATATAGACAGTGCAGTCATTTGCCGGTTAGCAAACCATGACAACTATGGAAAACATGTGGTTAAAGCAGCCATGAGGGACTACTATAAGAAATTTGGGGCAAGCAACCAAGAATATGTAACAAAATAAGCCAATTGCATGTCTTGAGGCATCATCATTTGTCTTATGGCCAAACTCGATGCATTAAAACAGAAAATGGCTAACTCTTGTTAACAATCATGTGTTGAAAGCAGGTAAGGTAAGCAATTACTTGGTCCACAGGAGACCTACCGGCTTCTTCCTGCTCCCCCAAAAATAAAAATTCAGTACCTTTTGCATGGTCTGCTGGCAGATAGAGTCATCCTACTCACCCCCTAAGTACAAATATCAATCATGCCCACCAACCTTCGAGATTAAAATGCGAAACAAGTAAGAGGTGCGCACGATAAACATCTCCACAGGGCAGAATTTCACCATCAAACACTTCTGTATTAGCTGCGTCAGGTTTGTCCCAAGGCTCAATACGGTAGCATATTCTAATGCTCCATATGGGGGCAGCATTAGGCAAGGCTATTTAAAGCCTTGCCAGGTAGCATGGTAAGTCAGAAACTCGAAAAGCTTGGATTTATCCTTACTGAGCACCGCCATGAACCAAGAAAACGGTTAACCGAAGGTTTAAGAGGGCAAGAAAGGCGGTAAAAATAAGTTCCGTCCTTCAAATTGTCTCCTTCATTCCCTGTGAGTTGTTCACGCTTGATTGCATATCAAACATGTTCGGGCGGCTGGCGAATTTATCTAATTTATGTATGAAATACGTACAAGCTTGCAGCTGGAGCTTCTTGCAGAGAAATTGGTCAGCATTTTAAGCAGCAGATGGTACCTCTAAAGGCGATCGAAAAGGAAGGACGAATAAAGTGGCATCACACTGGTATGATACCATGAAAAATGAAAGTAGCTAAACAAATATAAAGACTGGTGCTTTTCTTGCAAAATGTTGTAATCGGCTGATTTGACTGAAAATCTGTTAATATAAGTGCTCAAATGGTGAAATTCACCTTGTAAGTTTAATTTGGAAGACATTTCTTGACCTTTTCACTCCTGCATTTTGGGAGCGATGCAATTTAGTAATCAAGCTGCCTCGGGAAAAAAGAAGTACGTGGAGTAAAATTCTCTACCAGGCCTTGTGGTGTTTGCACCAGTCTCTGCTTTCGTGATATGGTGGTGAGATCAAATAATAGAGGATGCGTGAAAACCTTGCATTTGGCGCACAGCTGCAGGTTGTGATGCATTTTGTAGACAAACCAAAACATAATTTTAGAATGGATCTTGGTTCTTGCTGAAATTGAATCTCAATTTTAAGCCTGAGCTGGATCTCGGTTCTTGCTGGATCACTATGCATATTCCAGGCTGGGTCTTGGCTCTTGCTGGATCCCTTAACATAATTCCAGGCTAAATCTTGGTTCTTGTTGTGTCCCTATGTCCGATCCAAGCTGGATCTTGGTTGTTGCTGGATCTTTCGCCTTCATGTCAAGCTGGATCTTGGTTCTTGTTGGATCTTTTGGCTTATTGTCAAGCTGGATTCTGTTTCTTGCTGGATCTTTTGACTTGTTGTCAAGCTAGATCCTGGTTCCTACTGGATCTTTCGACTTATTGCCAGACTGGTTCCTGGGTTCTTCCTGGTTCCGGAACCAGGAACCAGTAACCGGTTCCCGGGAAGAAATCTTGGGAACCAGGCACAAGTCTGATGGGCAGTTGTGCTTATTTTCTTATTTACATTTTTACTTTGTGCGCAACATGTACGCTCAGAACTGCGCATAAGTACCCGTCCTCTTTGCGCGTAAACGTGTGGGCGCTACTTCGCTTAGCACAATATTGCAGAAGAACGTTTTGGCAGACCCGGTCTAGAGTTTTCGAAAAATGAGAGTAAAAGACGAAGTGATGAACTATACAGCATTACAAAAATGCAAGTCCGTATTCTGACGCGCTGGCGTTTGTTCAAGACCTTCCAAAACGACTTCATAATTTTCTCCGGCTGTAAGCGATTCATGGTAATCGGAGCTTGTTGAACTTTGTCCCTGGGACTGGGAGCTGGATAACTCGCATTCCAGTTCCGCAGCATGTTCCGCGTTATTTCCCCACCGGAATGTCTCCAGGGTGATTAATAAGATTGGTGCGACAGCTGCAACACAGAAATGTTACGATTGTTGTCTGCGGGTCCTGAACACGGTTGACCAGTTATGTTGATGCGGTCATTACACCTCACCGTTCTCTTATTTTGGGCTTCCCGAATAGATCGATACAACTCGGGTTGTTTGAGCTTGTCATTATCGCAATACTCACTGCCGGAATGCGCTCCAGTCACACAACAGGCACTGGCCCAAAGCCCTATCACTAGGCCTTTGTCTGACTAGTGAGTAGTCCCGCATGAACGAGAGACGGCACCGATCTTGCAGTACGACCACGACAGCCCGCACGTGGATGGGGGGGGGGGGGGGATGGGCAGCCGGCCGCGGTTGCGCGCGTCGCGCTCAGTCCTCGTGCGCAAGAATCTGGGGGCAAAACTACGCGCTTCCACATGGAAATGAGAAAACGATCAATATCACATAGCAATATGATTTCATGTGCCTTGCAAGCTGTACTTCTCTGCTCATTGTTTTTTTTTTTTACAATGCTTCCCAGAATGAGCTAGAAATATTTTGGGCAGCTTTATAATCATTTCAACGTATAAATTTGCCAAGTTATCTTTCAAGCACACGAAAAAATCATCATCGAGGGTAGGGATGCAACCAAGCAACTCGAAATTGCCGAAGAATTAAACCCCAAAGCGACGTAAATGATATTTATAAATGTTCCACAGGCGACTTCAGCGCTGATGACAGCCTTTGTCACCTGATTTAATCAAAATCTGAGCAACGAGGGTGCAAGACACTGGTCGATTTATCGCTGAATGCCCCTTCCTTACTAGACACGCTCAAACCCAGTTGAATGGGACTCCAAGCGCTGAATGTGATGGGCCATGTGCATTTGCTACGCCGCTGCCACATGAAATCGTGGCTTACAAATCGTATGACGGTTGAACTTACACGCCGCGAGCCCAATACACTGTGCTTCGCCTTAATGCGGTTAAAGTTCGGCGAGCGATAGTGAACCAAGAAAAAAACGAATCATTCTGAAAAAGTCAAGATTTTACCCGAGGCCGATTGGCGAACGGCCCGACAACATATTCAAAGCCGTACTTTGAAAACAATTCAAGTGGCCCTGTTGTACCTCGGACCACACAATTTGGTTAAGCTTTCCGGGAACTGGGAGGGGTTTACAGTTGCTGCACCCGTTCTTAACTTCGGCTACCGCTCCTAGCGTATGCATATTCCACAGTGGGTGCTCACGCACTTCTATATTTCCAGAAAAGCAGCATGGCAAGTGCGTCTGGAGGAGGTTCCGTAAACGGCCGCTTAGTGCGGCGGGCGCCACTGAGGCCGGCCGGACGGGTCGCGGCGGCCGGCCGAACGGCGCTGTAAGGCCATTCGCCTTCGTTGGGTGGCAGAGGCAGGTTCTGCCGACCAGTAACACGACGGACGTGGAGCACTCGCGCCTGTCCGGCGGTGCGGCGACGGAGTGCGGAGTCTCCGCGAGCCTACCGCGTGCGTGGCCCAGGGTCACGGAGTGCGTCGAGAACGGTGTGACGCATCGCTGAGCCCGACGCACGCGGACACCGCTGGGGGGTGCTCGTGACCAAGTAAGCTGTCGCGATGGCGAAGACGGCAGAGAGCGGCAAGGCCGAGGAGAAGTCCGAGCAGAAGACGGAGGTGCTCTTCGAGGACGTGCTGGAGCGGTGCTGCGGCACCGGCCGCTGGCAAACGCTGCTCATCGGGTACATGTCGGTCATGTGGCTGCTCTTCCCCGTTTTCTCCATGTCCATAATGTTCGTCGGCGCCACGCCCAAGTTTAGATGCGCCGACGGATTCGCTGCCAATGCCACTTTCGCCTCGCTGCCGTCCGATACGCCGCGCTGCCACGCGGCCAACTCGACGGCCGCCTGTCAGCGCTGGGCGTTCGACCCGCCCGTGTACGTGTCGACGGTGGTGACCGAGTGGACGCTGGTGTGCGGCCGCAAGCCGCTGCTCTCGCTGCTGCAATCGTGGCTGATGATCGGCGGCCTGTTCGGCTCGGTGGTGAGCGGCCAGCTGGCCGATCGCTTCGGCCGGCGGCCCGTCTTCCTGCCCGCCATGCTGCTGCTGATCGCCTGCTCGTTCACCGTCGCGCTCGTCACCGACTACGCCAGCTTTACGGCCGTGCGCTTCCTGACGGGTGTCGCCATGTCGGCCATGATCAGCAGCAAGTACGTGCTGGTTCTGGAGCTGTCCAGCAGCGAGCGGCGCGCCGCGATCGGTATCGTCTCAATCATGCCATTCGCATTTGGCACCTGCTTCGTCGCGCTCCGCTCGTACCTAATCCGCACGAGATGGCTGCTCCAGCTGGCGTACGCCGTGCCGTGTCTTATCTTCCTGTTCAACTTCTGGGTGATGCCCGAGTCGCCCCGCTGGCTGGTGCTGCAGGGCCGGTTCCCGGAGGCGTGTGCCGTGCTGCGCCGGGGCGCGCGCTGGAACGGCCGTCGGGAGCTGCCAGAGGAGGAGGTGCTTCAGCTGATGGCGGAGGCGCGGAACAACATGCTGTCCCGCCAGACCACTATGAAGACCGCCGGCGGCCACAGTCCGCTGCAAATGATGCTGCAGCTGGTCCGGACGCCGCACATGCGCCGCCGAACACTCATCGCCGTCTTTCTCGGCTTCATCATCGCCGGCTCCTACTTCGGTATCTCGTTCGATACGACGCAACTGGCGGCGAGCCCGCATCTCGCGGCGGTGTTCACCGGTCTCGCCGGCATTCCCTCCAGCCTAGTGTTTCCCCTGCTGGATCGGCTGGGACGGCGACGCTCGCTGATCCTCCTCCTCTCGCTGCAGGCCGCCGCCATGTTACTCACCTTCGTACAGAAGGATACCACGCTCTGGCTAATACTCGGCGTGGTCGCCAAGATCGGCGTTTCCTCCGCCTATAACACGATAATGGTGTTCACTGCCGAACTGATGCCCACCGAGGTCCGCTCGCTGGCGTGCGGTCTGCGCCAGCTGGCGGAGCGCGTGGGCGCCGCCCTCGCGCCGTTCGTGGTGGACTTGTTGAGCGAGCTGCACGAGAGCGGCCGTCGGCCGTGTTCGCCGGCCTCGCCCTGCTGGGCGGCCTCGCCGGCCTGCTCCTGCCCGAGACCAACGGCCGCCCGATGCCGGAGACGGTGGCCGATGTAGATGGCCAGCCGGTGTCCGCCGCACCTACCGCCGAACGCACCCGCACCAACGAGGCGTGCCAGGGCGCTGACGATCCGTGAGCTGGCTGTAGCGGCGTCTCAGTGGACGCACCCGCTGGGCGCACTGCTTACACATGTGACCATGAGGTGTATGGATATAATCCATGTCAATGATCCTTCAAACGTACCTGGTTAGTTACGGTAACTAATCGGAAAGTTATATTTGAGTAATTAAACCAAGAGTGATTTGCATGTATTTACCTATTGAACGTCGAGGCAGAGTAATACACTTTAGTGCAGTCAGGAAGATGCTGAAATTCTGGCCGAATGATGTCAAAATATACAGCAAATAGCCCAAAACAAAGCAAAGTTGAGAAGACATATGAAGCTTGCTATCAGAACTCAAAATCGTGGAGTACGCATCAAAGATATTAAACTTGAAGCGCGCCAACTAGGTAGTGGCATTTGCGTAGGCCAGGTCGATTATCATGACTAGCTGAACGCTTTATGGCAACGCTTTACGTGCGCTTTATGTGCGCTCCCTGACAGGCAACAAATCAACCCGCATCAACGGAAGCAGTGTTATTACGAAAACACTGCTTAGTATTTACAACCATTGACGATATATTTTGTTCCCGACTCGTTCGATCCTGCCACGAATTTGTGCTGCGCGAAGTAGGCCTCTTAATGTCACAGTTCTCTACAGCTAAGTGTGGTATTCACATTGAGGCGAGGTGGGCGCCATGAAAGGATGGAGCTACACACTTAATTATGGAAAACATGTGGCAAAAGTGTTGTGTTGCCGGGCGAATTGTGCACCTTTCCCAAACATGTCGCGTTTCCTTTCACGGGTTACAATTTTGGTTCACGCGCTCATCCCAGGGAACTCTTCGGAAAGGACCGTTTTAAACGATCGTTCAGCCAATTTAAGCACCACTCACTCAAACTTGCGTGCGCGCATTTAAAGGCCCACCGGCGATGAAAACGCGTGCACTGGACGCAAGGTAGATCAAGTTTGACAATTATCCCCATCAAGATCACGCACAAGCCACCGACCGTCGAGCATCCGTTCAGGCCCACTTCATCTGGCTATCAACAAGTAACACATATGAACTGAATGAAAAGATAAGTTGAAACCAGCTAAAAATGATATTTATCATGCTTTTATCACAAGTTCTGCTGTCAACAGATAGGCAAGGTGAGTTGGGATGATGGCCAACATATGGGCTATGTTAGGTTCAGCATACTAAGTTAGGTTGAATTGGTTAACTGCATGGCAAGTGGCAATAGGAATTGTGCAAGAATCAGTGATTCACAAGTGCTGCTGTGATACAAACAGGTTAGACAGGATGAAATGAGGTAAGACCTCTTTAGGCTACGAATAGTTAGGCTACTTCCACGGAACTAAACATTGGTATTTTGTAAGAAACAGTGACATGATGTTTGTTTTTCCTGACCCCATCTCAACGGAAGCCAGAGGTATGCCTATTGTGCTTGACTTGGTGATGGGCTGATGTGTAGGAGTCCAAAGCTTTTTGTTTGAGTGCTTCATGCTTGTTAAATTTCCTGTTGTTGTTTTGTTGCTTAATTTCATTGCTTTTTTGTGTTAAAAATGCTGTGGAAGGGAAGTAATGTAGGTGAGTAATGTGGAAGTAAGGAAAGTGCGGCATAAAACTAATGGTGTTACATGGATTTGTATGCGCATTATACCGTTATGAAGTTACAATTCTATACTATATTTTATTTCACTTCATTGGCCTAAGATGCCAAAAATAAAAAATTGTAAGGTTTATGATATTACATCCGTGACAACTTAAAATGTATGTCTTCGTTTGCTGAAGCATCTGTCACATAAGTTCAACCTTTTGTGGATAGAATTTTTCAGGCTGGTACGGTCTTTTTGTGATGGAATTTTTCACTCCCATTCTAGTTCAAAAGCGATTCTGGCTCACTGAAAATACCACACGTAAGCACTTTCTCAGATCACAGTAATGTCAGATCGCACTCCGAAGATTTCTGTACTGCGTTACTTTAAGCGTGTTTGGAGCCTTCAATCACGGAGCTTAAAGCCTGTTTTGCTCCAAGCGAGGACATATTTTACGCAGTCACGTCCTTTCTAAACTAACGGCAACGCGTGCCGCTGTTTTCCCAGTCAGTGTGACGTAATGTGATTTTAGTTGTTCCCGGTGAAGCGAAGAATCTTTGCACCAAAGTAGTGACATTTGATTAGCAGATTATGCAAGCTTGACTTTTTGTGTGGCTTTAGTTTGCCTTGAATGCACCATTATTTGCCACACGTACTTGTCGTTTCCGTTCCGTCGATAAGTGCAATTCTTTCCCTAAAAGAGGCGTGCTCGCATCCGTGCAGCGCATACAGCCATCGATGCCATGGGTGAGGAAATAGTTTTATCGAATGATTATTGATAGGAGCCTTAAATGGGCTTTTCATTGCTGTCAATATCAAATGCTTGGTCGCTCTAGGTTCTGGGCTACACGCTTGCGACAGTGGGGAGAGTATTTGAAAGCCACCTTGGTATTCACGACGCCATACTAACGTCATTCAAATACTGTCACTCCATAAGTCGTGCAGTGATAAAATCCGAGACAAATATCATTATCGAAGTTCTCATATCCGGCGCTCGTGGGCGCGAATAAGTGAGCTCGTTTCACCGTGTCTGATGCTTGCTTCATTATCTTCAGGTGTGAAACATTCAATTTAAAAGTACATCAATCGTTCTAAGCGAGCTTGTTTCATCATATCTCCTGCCTGCTTCAGTATCTTCAAAGGTGAAACATTTCCTTCCACGTAACAGCGTCAGCCGTTCGCGCGCGGTCCGCGAAATCACCGGTTGCTGCCCGCCGCCCCCGCCGGCCAAGGGCCCGTCTTGCAATGTTCCTAGCAAACCGCTGCTTGTCCAAAACCAGAAATGTTCGGGCCACTTTTTTGCCTCAAATCATGTGCACTGGATGCCCCAGAGGCTGTCAAATATTTGGGCGCGAGCGCACAATATGCAGGACCGGTATCCTCAGAAAATCTTAGTTGGGGGGGGGGGAGTCGTGCCATCGCCCTCTGTCAGGGCGAGCATGCAGTTAAGAAAGAACATTCAGTCTGATATGAAGCTAGTAAGAAATGTCAATACAATTTACTTCTAAGGACACGGTCAAAACCGCCCGCCAGACAACACGTGTCGCGCCACGCTTGGAGCATGCCTGAGACATGATGGAGAGTTTGATGGCAGTGGGGGTGAGGATTGAAGCGCACACTTGGTTTTCATTAGGAACATGGCCTCGAGGAGGCCCGCGTATTGGATGTCCCCCCCCCCCCCCCCCAGTGTTACCTGCCACCGGTTCGAATTCGACCATGCATTCAGTTGCCCTGGCTGTGAAGGAACTTGTTTTTTGTTCTCTCGGAATATTGAAGTCCCCGGGACGGCCACGGACGCCCGGAGACACCCAAATACCGCATTTGACCCGACTCCGCCTGGGGTCCGAGTCGGCAGTGGAATCATCCAAGTTTTCGGTATAAGAACACCGCGTTGACTAGGTTCCAGAGAGTTTCCTATCGACCTTCTTCCTATGCCGACTACGACTAGGACATACAAGATATACCCATCCGTTCCTTATGGATCGAGGACCAAGACCTACCTGTCAGAACTGAGTATGCCCTCGAACAATGCAACATTTGTTAGTGGAATGCCCATTGTTTGCGCGTCAGCGACGACGTATTGTGGAAATCTGTCAGCAAACATGGAACGCCCCTTTGTATGAAATCGCTAATTGGCAATGACTATCCAGTTTTTATCGACGAAGTGTTTAAATTCCTACGCCTTTGCAAGTTTTTGAAAAAATATAGTGCTAGTGCATGATTCTGCTTGAGCATGTATGACAATCCTGAGGCTTGTAAAAGTGTGGTCTATCATGTGCATGCATACGTTTTTCTTTTTGTTTTCTTTTTGATCCACCAAGTAATATGGCTACTGTGTGTGCCGTTTGCCGTGATTTGAAGTTCAATGCGAGGTCGCAAATGTGCTCAAGTATTGTGAGGCCTCGTATCTGGTCATGTATGGTGGACGGTACTATGAAAGCAGCGATTAACTCAGTCTCTGTGTACGTGTGTGTGTGTGTGTGTGTGTGTGTGTGTGTGTGTGTGTGTGTGTGTGTGTGTGTGTGTGTGTGTGTGTGTGTGTGTGTGTGCGCGTGCGTGCGTGCGTGCGTGCGTGCGTGCGTGCGTGCGTGCGTGCGTGCGTGCGTGCGTGTGTGTGTGTGTGTAGGTGTGTGTGTGTAGGTTTGTGTGTGTGATCATGTGCGTGTGTGAGCTCGCTTCCATCTTTATTATTTTGCTATAACTTTATATTGCTTTCTAGTTTAGCATCAACGGGGGAGACCCCGTAGCGAGGCGAAAAACGATGAAAGACCAGCGACCAACTCGTCGGGCTGAGCGAACCGTAAGCAGACGCGAACTGATCGATAAGGTAGCAATATATAGATATTTAAATGCGACGCATGGAGAGCAGATTCTGCGCCAGAGTGCTGACAAACAAATGTGTGTGCCACCGCGATTCATGTCGAGTCGTGTGTCGCTGAAGATGCGAGATCTTCTGCTATTGTTTGAGTGTGGAACGAACGAGGTGATCGAGGAGACCAGGCCTGTCGTATAAATGAGTAGTTTACTTGTACGTAGGCACAGTGACACGTAATCTTTAGCTCGAGACATTAACTACTGAGTATTAATACATCCTTTGCACCAGGATCCATCCCGTGGCTAAATCTTCCATGTTCCTCTACCATGCTTAGTCTCCACAGCATACCAAAAAAAATGCTGCGAGCAAAATCTGAATACAAAAGGGACGCAACGAAGACAACTGAAACGGACGCTTGGGCCCAGGAGGCTATGCGCCGTAGACAACACAAGACAAGTGTGGTATTGGGGAGATGCGCGCCGGGCGTGCTGGTTTTGGTGGCAATGTTGCCCAAAATTGATAAATTCGGTGAAGGAAGCTTTCTTCCATTTATCAGCTACTTCAGGGTTCAGGTTCATCCTAAAATGTCCCACTCATGGAGGCTTTATTTTGCATAGCGAT